CTTAGACCATACTTTTCATTTGAATTTATTTCAAATTTATCTTTGAAGTTTGCTGGCAAGAGGTTGTTATAGTATCTATACATAAAAATTAGATGCTGATAAATATTTATTTCAAATATATCCATCATTTTCATATCTCTCATAAGAGGTTTTGCATGTTCACGTTTATGTTTACAGTATATAATACGGCAAGCGTGTTTTTGGAGCCTTTAAATTTTTTGAAGTTTTAAAGTTTGCGTACTTGCCCATGATATATTTGCATAATTAATAAAACAGTGTATCAGTCCAAAAGTATATTAATTTGAGACTTAACATATTGATGTATGGTCTAACCCTTACGCCAATAGTTTTGGTAACTTTTGAATGTATATAATTTATATGGGGAAGCCAGGATAAATTTTCATCGACAAGGATTCCGAGGAATTTTATACTTGCTTGCTTTTTAATTGTATTCCAAATTATTTTTCAAGAAGGTTTGACACTTTTGGTACCGATAAAAATTGGTTTTTCTTTCACCATTTTGACAATTAGTTGTCAAATATCGATAAATATTTTTCAATTGATCGTTTTACGCTTAGCTCCAGATCTAGGTATTTTTATTTTATTTTTATATAGGTTAGATTAGGGTAATATGAGCACCTTAAGCGAAAATTGGAATATTTTCATAAATAATTATGCTGGATCCAAAATTTTTGTAAACAAACAATTTTTAGGGATCTCTACTCCTGATTCAATTAGATATTTCGGCACCCAAAATTTTTTCTTAAAAACACAGACGTTTTAAAAAAGTAGCAAAAGTGCTCATATTACCCGGACCGCTTTGTAATATGAGCACTTTAAATTAGCTCAAAAAATTAGCATTAATTAAATGAAAATTTTTTTTGTAATATAATGAATCGTTATTAACAAAACTTATCATTAAAAGATCAAATTTTAAGCCACTTTTTATTGAAACAATACTACTTTGTTTTCCGCAATAAATAAAAAAATTAGGTCGTTGTTTTATCAATTTTATTAACTCCAAAAAAAATTCAAACTTTTTAAATTTAAAATACAGTAAAATATTTAGTATTGTTGAAATATTAAAATTTTTTAATGTCTTTTTTTTTATTCAAAAATCAATTAAAACCACTCCAGTATTAGGACTATAAACTACGTATTTTTAATGAAAAACACTAGGTAATTTGAGCATGCTTATATTACACAAAAATGGCATCTTTAAAGTCAAAACTAAGTGTTCCTATGCATTGTTTTTCAAAAAAAAAAGGAAAGGATTTCTATTAACATATTTTTCTTTATGAAAAAGCAAATTTCATTATTTTAGCACTAAAATTTCGCGCCACAGATTTATTCATGCGTGATAATATTATATTATCAGCGCAAAAAATTTAATAGTGTTTTAATTAAATGATACCCGCTAATTACTGCATATATATTTACGCTAATTATACTGATTTCTGTTGTCACCACATAAAGTTGATTCAAAAAATGCAAAGCAACTCCACTACTTACATCTTTGAAATCTTTAAGTATGCTGATATTACCAAGGTGCTCATATTACTTTAATCTACCCTATATATCAAACGTTTTGTACTTTTTAATCAGATCGCTAACGATTCTAAATGCAACTCCAGAAGCCTTTTTTTTATTAACTTGCGCCAAATTGCGCAGTCAAACTGCGCTGTGCTCGTGACCATTCCCTAATTTTTACTCCCATTGACGACGACATCAACCGTAAATTATATAAATTTGAAAAATATCAGTTAACTATGAACGATTACTCGTTATTAAACAACGTTATTTAAAATTATTAAAAATTTTATTTTAATTTTAACTACTTTTAAATTTTCGTTTACAAAATAACATGTTCGGATAATGTTCGGATAACATTTTTCGTTAAGGTTTTAACACTCCTTAAGAGATTTGTATAAAGATTGTAATAAAGACAGAAAAAAAAATAAAAAACTCGTGGATCTATCACTGATAATAGTATTTATCAAAGTCTTATTTTAATCTGAAATAGCGAGACAAAGTTTATTTTTCACAACAAAATTATTTATTCGGATACAACAAAATTATTTGTTCGGATACAACAAAATTATTTGTTCGGATACTTATTTCTTTGACTGAGTTAATCATCAACTCTAATTCTAAATATTTAGTTTTAAGAAGAAAAAAAATTAAGATTCTTAAAGAAAACTATGCAATGTTTTGTTGATTCTGCAGCTTTTTTATTAGAACCATGTAAAATTAACGTTCAAAGTTGTATTAATGAAAACTTGAGTCTTTACAAGACTTTTAGATGCATGTGTCCAGAGCCGAAACCACCGAGGGGAGCCAGGTGGTCAGGGACCGAGCTCCTCAAAAATTTTTTAAAATATAATTATTAAGGAAAAACATATATGTAAAATATTTTTAACAAATATTTTATCTCCTCTCTCCTTTAAAAAAACCATTAGCCCCCCTAATATCAAAATTGTGATTACGGCTCTGTGTGTCATACCTTTCCACAACATCTTGGCAAGCTTTTACACTGTTTTGTGTGCGCTCGACATTCGTAGAAAAAATAATTTTACTACTTAAGGAGAATTTAATTAGAATGATTTTATATATAATGACTGATTTTAAAAATTGGGTATGCTTGTATAGTTGATCTGGAACAATTATGTTATATAAAATTTACACAGACGTGATTTTAAATTTTAATTAAGTTTCAATTTTTTTTGTGAAGATTAATTTTCCAGAAAAAAAAAGTAATAAAATTTTAACATTTAAGGAAGTGCTAACTATATTATAAAGTATATAAACCAGTGCTGGCAGAGGCAGTTTTAAGGGTTTGTGTGGGGTGTTCAACCCTCTCTCCCCCAAAGAAGGTGATTTTTAAGTTATAGTCGTTATTTTAACGAGTTTAGTCGGCTAGTCGGGCATTTCACGCAATTCTGGCGGTTAAATTTTCGCTTTGAGGATTTTTTTTGTTAAGGTTTTAAACCCCCTCCCCTCATTCTATTTTTTGAATCGCTTCTGAGTGCTGTGTTAAGAAGGGCATGGAACTGCCCCGAGCCCCACCGTTTCGGGGGCCTCAATTCAAAATAAAAGATTTGTTAAAAGAAACACTGAGAATAAAATTTTTAGTTAATAATTATTAACTAAAATAATAATTTTAGTTAACTGATGGGTTAATTAGTAACCAAATATTTGGTTTCATGTTTACACAAATTTAAATTTGACATACGTTGAATAAAAGTTCTTACTACAATTCTGCAAATTACAAAAAAATTGTTTGAATTCAGTATAAACCTATTTAAAATGCTATATACAATGCAAACAGGCCTAAGTTTTCATATAAAACAAACGCATTTTCCAGTCAGAATGTTGCTCTATTGTTATAAATTTAAATATCATTTTATAACTATTGTTGTTATAAATTGAGTTTTGAAAAATAAATCAGATTTTAAGATTATTAACGTTAGGAGATAAATTATTGCTTGCCGACGATAATATAATAAGTTTACAAAAATCTCATCTAGAACGAATTTTTTCAATAAGTAAGCTTTAACAACAGTTTCTTCTACCATCTTTACACAATACTTTAGTTTTTCTTCTTGCAAGTAAATAATGTAGAACAAAAATTCAAATGAAATAAGATACATATTTACATATCGTAAAACATTGTTCTCGAAATTCAAAGTCAAATGTAAGATCGCCATGACATTTTTTATATCTTCTACTAGTTAAAGTTAGAAACTTAATTCGAATTTTGAGATTTTCAACTTTAAAAAATACAATAGAAACGTTTTAATAAACTTGTTCGTGTATAAATGTATAAATGATGTATTTCGCTTTACATATTGTTTTTCTTTGTTTCTTTAAAAACAAAATTAAAGTTTATACATTTATTGTTTGTTTAAAAAAAAATTTGAGGTTTATAATATATATTTGGTATTTACTTTATTAAGTAAGTACGCACTTTATATAATATTTTTAGTACTTACATAAGGAAAGTAATTCATAAAACAATAGAGGAAATGGTCATGCTGGAATATAAATAAACCGCAACAATAAGTTACGAAATATAAACAAAGTAAAATAACATTGATAACTTAATATATTTTTTAAATTATAAGTAATAATTATCTTTTATATTTTTTGTAATATGTACTGCATATACATATTTACACATATATATTTATGAATAATTATGTATGTATGTATGTATGTATGTATGTATGTATGTATGTATGTATGTATGTATGTATGTATGTATGTATGTATGTATGTATGTATGTATGTATGTATGTATGTATGTATGTATATATGTATGTATGTATGTATGTATGTATGTATGTATGTATGTATGTATGTATGTATGTATGTTTGTATATATGTATGTATGTATGTATGTATGTGTGTTTGTATGTATGTATGTATGTTTTTATGTATGAATCCATATACAAAAAACTCCATTTATAAAATTGCTGTTAAAAATAAATAAAAAAGGGTCAAGTTCCCCTTTTAAGTATTATAATTTATGGATGCTTAAGAAATGAAGAAAACTTTGTTCATTAAATTTATCAAGTTTGTTTACCAATCGACTAAAAGTATTATTTTTATGACATTTGTCAGATTTGTATGTGTTTTTTTTTATTTTTGAAAAAATGACATGTATTTTTAACTCTAATATTTGATGAAGAGTGTGGGATAATAAATGCATAATTTAAGTAAATATTATGTCATATATTTAATTTAAGTAAATATTGCGTAGAATGAAATATTATAGCTATGATGTTTGAATAAAAATAACATTTAATAAAATAGAACTATAGAAATATTTATAAAAAAAAATCTTTTTAAATTTTTATGTCGAAACAAACTTTCTTTTTGTTTTTTATGGAAAAATCCCGGTATATTAAATCGTATTTATTTGCGTAACGCAATGAGGCAAACCTTATTCGTTTTAAAACGCTCGAAAATAAATCTTTTCAATAAAGAAAAAACAAAAGTTGCTGACAACCGTAAATATTTAACCTCCAGTATAATTTAAAAACAAATTAAAAAAAAATACTATAAAGTCTTTCAGTTAATAATTTAAATAAGTTTTATTTACAATAAAAATTAAAATATTTGTGAACTACTTTTAAAGAAAATTTTAACTCGTTGAGTTACTCTCATCGTCCCAATTTTCGTTCATTGACTCGATATCTGATAAAATTGTATCAACACTGCGCCTTTTGTTTTTTATTTCTACCTTTGTTTCTTCAGAATTCTGTGAGCAAAAAAAAGGGAAATATTTATTGAAAAAATTATTTATTGAAAAAAATATTAATTAGAAATTATTTAGATTTAAAATTTATATTTAAATTTAAACTTAATCTAAAAATTTAATTTAATTTAAATTTTTAGTTTTAAAGAAAAATGTAAAATGAAATACAAATTTTCATGTATATTTGTTGATAAAGTTTTTGTCAAATCATACGTCATTGACGACTATGATAACGGAAAAATAATTGCATCTGTTAGATACCAGAAAAAAAAAGTAATAACAAAATAAAAAAGAAGGATATAAAATAATAATTTGATGTGGGTAACAATGTTATAAAATTTGTTAATTTTTAATTTGATTTTTTATTTTATTTATTGATTATTTGTTAATTTATAAAATAAACGATGAAATGTCAAAAAACCTCGTGTTTAGTTTCAAATTTCACTGCTTTTAATAAAAATGTTTAGTTAAAAAAAAAATATCGAGAAAAAAAGAAATATTAAGATAAGCATAAATTAACTAAAATTAATTTAAAGTTATTAAATAAATTTATATAAAGGTAAAGTGGATAGCAAAAAACTAATGCTTAAGTTATTCATAAGTATATAAGATATACACAATAATAATAGTTGGACGTAAATGGTTATAAAAAGTTATTTGCGCCAATTAATTCGCGCGTCAAAAAAGAACTTTAATCTAAAAAAAAAAAAGAAAAAAAAAAAGTGATTCCATATACAATAAGATTATATGTATTACCTTTTTAGAATAGCATTTTCGCCAGCGAACTCCTTTACACTTTGATGGAACTGCTGCTAATAAAGTATATAATTCCGAAAACACTAGCAAAGATACAAAAAAGACCACCATCATTTTTTTTGCATCCATTATCATAATTATCGCTTTTATGTAATGTTCTTTTTAATTATTGTATTAAGTCTTATTCGTATTACGTCTTACTCTTCAGTAATCTCTTCACTAAAAGTATTTAAGCTTTAATTGTGCCACTCGTTCTAAATTTAAAACTCATTTGAAGATTATTTGCTAACTTTACTTTTTTTTTTTTTAATCGTTTACTTTCTTTGCATCAGGAATGTCTTCTCGTTTTTTACTGTTCCGTCACAAAGTGCGCGCTAGAATTTTAAAGACAGCGTTGTGTTACATTGTAAACATAAGATTTAGCGCACCACTAGACACTCAAAGACTCGCGGTGTTTGGGTTTACTTGTGTAAACTAAATTAAAGTTCTTAACAGCCGATCATTTTACTTTTGAAAAACTTATAAAAATTAACTCCAATTATCCGACTGTCGCCGTCAACGAGTTTTTGCAAGAGAAAAAAAAGCTTTAATTAAACCGGCAGAAAAATATTTGAAAAATGTTTCCTCTTTAAGTAATTTTTGGTATTATGGTAAGAGTACAAGGGTCCTTATAGCTTTATATATAGAAAAAACAAAGTGTATTTTCTCTCATAGCAAAAAAGGTATTGATTTTTTAAAGAGACTAATACCGTTTAACAATACTATTATTTGCTAACGATACAATGATTATATAATAACAAATGGTTAAAAAAGAATTCTCGAATGCCAGAAATGTATTTTCAAATAATGTTTTGCTTCAGGGTTTTTTCTTCAATAACTAGTTCAATCAATTTTCAAATAAAGCGCCAACTTAAAAGTTGTTCCAAAGAGTAAAATAATTATTTAGTTGTCAATACAACAAATCTATCAAAGAGTAACATAATTATTTAATTGTTAATACAACAAATCGGGCAACTATATAAGAAATAAATGACACAAGTCTTTTTATTCTTAATTCTATAAATGACTTGTACCGAGTTGTCTAAGAAATAGATAAAGAAAAGCCGAGATGCGTTACTTTAATACATGATCAAAGAGTAATTACTTAACTGTCAATACAAGAAATCGGGCATCTACATAAAAAAGAATGACGTAACATAAAAGGCATTAAATATGCTATGCAAAATTTTTTGATTTGCACAATGCGCAAGATTTTGATCGTTTTATTAATAAAATAGCATAACATTGTCATCATTTAATCATCATCATTTTAACATTGTCATCATTTAATCATCATCATTTTAAGCATCATAAGTGAAGTGAACATGCAATTTAGACTATGCAAAAAGTATACGGTTTTATATATAATAATCGATAAAAAGTTGGAGATTATAATGCTAACACAACACGCAACAATATATACATAAATATATATATATGTATATATATGTATATATATATATATATATATATATATATATATATATATATATATATATATATATGTATATATATATATATATATATATATATATATATATATATATATATATATATATATATATATATATATATATATATATATATATATATATATTTATTTATTTATTTATGTTTACTTAACAAAGATTCTTCATGTTCTTCATGAAAAATAGCACGTACGTAGGTGTCTGTACATCTCATATGAGTGCCGCCCAACCGCCTTTTGTTGCGCATTCTATTACCAATATAGCCCCTATCTAAGCAGTAATAACAAGCAGGGTTAGTTAAGCCAACGGAAAGTTAGCTTGCCCTTATGCTTAACTAACCCTGCTCTGTTCTATATGCTTTTAGCTTTCTATTCTTTTCTATGCTTTCCTATCTTTCAAATTTTTTGCAATCTTTTATCTTGACTTATATAATCACACTTGTGAACAAAAGCAGTAAGTAAGTGTGTTTTCACTGGCTTAAGATTATTGAGTGATTAAAAGTCAAGTAAGAGAGAACTACCTGCAACATTTCATATTATTCAAAGTATGAAAAAAAAAGTCATTAATTTAACTGTATTATAGGTTGGCTTTATTTAAATATAACTTATTTGCAAAACATTTTTCAATCATTTACAAGGTTACAGCATAAACTTGAATTAAGTATTTACACCAACTGCAATTAATTGGCAGGCCCATTAATTTTAGGCCCATAAATCCTCATATGATTTTGTGATCTTTTAATAATAATGTTTTTAATGAAATATTTGAACCTGTTTTTTGTTTGAAATGCCTTAGCCATAAGTTTTGTATAACGATGGCCCAAAACTCCTTGTGATGAAGACAAAGCTACCATTACCTGTTTTCTTACAACTTTATATACTTTTTTCCTGAATAAAATTTTGATAAATAGAGCTTTAATATATAAATAAAACACCTTTTAGAAAAAACACTTTTTTTAAAAAAAAAGGAAAAACACTTTAACTCATAAATACAGAGTTGTCGAGTTGTAGGATAGCTGTAAATTAGTTGTGGGATTGTTGGATATGCGAAATCAAAAAACAAACCGCACTTATCCCTTACCTCAAATTGAATAAAAATTATATGTTTTTTTAACATTTTATTAATTCTAAATTTCGTAAAAAATTTTTTTTGAGTCTTTAGAAAAACATTTTTGGAAAAACCTTTTTAAAATACACTGTGAAAACAAAACAAAACAGTTTAATCATAAAAATATAAAGTGAAAAATTTTCCGAATTCTCATGTCAAAGTAGTTATAATTAAATATATATATATATATATATATATATATATATATATATATATATATATATATATATATATATATATATATATATATATATATATATATATATATATATATATATATATATATATATATATATATATATATATATATATATATATATATATATATATATATATATATATATATATATATATATATATATATATGTATAATTGACTTATATTTTAATGTAAAAAAAATTTGAGCGTAGTAAAAAAAAAATTTTTTTTTAGGTTTTTTCAACTTCAGTTTTTAATAAGCGCAGACTTCAATAATTTTTACAGACAATGACCGGAAAAAGTATATAGTTTCACTACAGAATAGTTGATTGAATTCTCTGTTAATATTTTTTTATTGAGGCTCTTTATAAAGGTTTGCATAATATTATCTACAGGAGACCTCAAAAAGATTCCTCCTTGGGGAAGGTCTTATTGTATACATAAATACTATATAAAGCTCATATTAAAAAACACCAACTTAGTTACTGCGACAATATTTTATTGTTTAACCGTTTTTATTTTTTTTTATTTTTTTTGTTGTTGTTGTTTTTTTTTTGTAATGAGATTACCGCGTCAAAAATCATTATAGTTTCTTTTTTGTTTGTTTTATTCTCATAAGAATTACAAATTCAAATACACTTATATCATTAAAAAAAAATTCTATGAATTGCAAATAGAATTAAAAGCAAACGGGGGAAAATAAATAAAAAAAATTAGATTTTTTTTTTACTTCTTTCATTGATTATATACAAAACAACAACTAATTTTAAACAGAAAAAGACATCAAAAAGTAAGTTTTTCAAATTGAGCAATCAAATAATAAAATTTTTGTATTGCAAAGAATGTTTATAAACAAGGCATTTAGGACTTATCAAATGTTAGAAGACAAATTAAGTCCTTAATCCAACCAGACGACAAAAAGGGGACGTTTAGGATGTACTTACATGTTTTGTTTTAAAAACATAATTTTTGTGCTGTTTGTTAAAATATTGTTTCCTCAGACGTTTTGATGAATCTGTCACCAGATTATGCAGTTTTAAATCTTAAGCTAGCTATAAATATACATGATAACTAAAATTTATTTTATTGCCCAGCCTTTTAATTGATTTTATTCGTCTCCGGCTACAATTTTAAATTTCTTATGAATGAAAAACCTGACGTAACGGAATTTGTTAGATGTTTGCATTTTAAATTTTAGAAAATTTATTAATAGAAATAATTACTTTGTTTGACATCATTTGACATAACAGAAGAAAAAAAAGAAAAACATTAAATCAACCTAAATTTGAAAAAGAAAATTGGATGGTTATATATAAGTTTGAAGTAAGGGTTATGAATCCAGCGATTTTTAAGTCCCAATCCCAAAATCCCGAAGTCAAGCATATAACGCCGGGATTCTACTTAGTAAACTCAACGAAATTAAAAAAAAAACTTATTTAGTTAAATATTTATAAATATGTATTTCTTCTTTTGAGATTTGATTGTTTTCATATATACACTCTTTTAACATTTTGTTTTCGTTCGGTTGCAATCAAGTTCGAACTTTTCGAACTTGAAATTTTTGCAAATTGTTTTTCATTAGAACAAAAGTACCCATAAAATATCAGAAAAAACTATTGATGAACTAGTGATATAAAAGTACTTGACATATTATTCAATAAAAACTATTGATGAATGTCATCAATAGTTTTTTTTTTGATATTTTATGGGTTGCTTCTGATAAGATTTGTCATTTTTCGGCAAACTTTAGAAAGATCATGTTATTTTAAATTTCTTTACATAGAAATTAAAAATATTTTTTATAAAAAAAGAAATAATAATTTTTTATAAAAGTTTACAATTTACCAAAATTCTGCTATGTAATTCAAATAATTCAAGGTATATAGGGGAAAGCGGGGCAACATGGTGAATGGGGCAAGATGGGTTTTCATATAACAACTCAACAAAAAATCTTAAAATTGTGTGAAAACGAAATTGTATTTGCATCTTGTATTTTAAAACACCTCTTTTGAAATTTTATTAACGCAATTTTATACGCATAAGTTTACTTTTTGCGCTTAAAAAAAAATTCCTCACTTTCGGTTTCTCATAATGGATAGTGTCCTTTAAGTTTAACTTCTTCAGAAATAGTTTTTTGCAATATGTCTTTTTTTTTTTGTTACTTTAGTTAGAGTTATTGGTAGTTTTTAAAACTTTATAAATATGGAGGTAAAAATTGCATAATAAGCCATCTTGCCCCGGTCACGTGACCAGATGACAAATTTATGAACTTTTTATTTTAATATTTATTTCAAATTGTTATATTTGCAAACTGAAAATTCATGCAGGCAATGAAGGATTTTAATAACATAAACATACTGAAAAAGTATTGTTGCTTCACGACTGATAGTTTTGCAATAACTCAGGGCTTTCAAAACGTTCGCCACGTTGCCCTGCTTTCTCCTACTGGTTTAAAAGGAAAGCTTCAGAATAATGCGTATTTGCCCGCATACTTTTTAAGATTTTTCTTTTACTAAATATTTTATTTTTGTATTTTAAACCTTCAGTCGATGTATGTACTGTAGATCTAGCAGATAGTTGTTTCAGTATGATATCATTAATGACGTTTCATGTAAGGCTAAAAGCGCATTTACTTTTTAATGTAAACATTGCAATATCCTCGATATTTATGTTTTGAACAAACCAAACAACTTTTTTTCATAAAAAATTTGTAGAAATCTAATAATAAGATTAAAATTATATTTGTTATGATTAATACACCAAGTAAAAATAACAGTTAAGGTTATTTTGCCTTTGAGATGCTGGTTTGTTTACAGCTTATGTAGGCATAATTTTTTATGTTAAAAACAGCCTGTGCATGTGGTTGTAGAGTGATAGAACGCTTGCTTAATAAGCAACGCGGTAATAAAATGTCGTTGGTAGTACCGCGCTCAACTTGTTTCT